TATGCCATACCAAAGGTATGCCATACCAAAGGTATGGCATTCACAGTGCAAACTGGAATGACTAACGTATTTCTGGGAATAGGACAATAACTGTTACCATATTCAGCGGGTGTATTCAAACCCTCATTTAGGAAAATACCAATATGACTGGAACACAATAATTCGACCGTCTTCAATCTCCTAGATTGAACGCCCAATATTCTCCACATGCGACTACCACACAATTAATTCCAGATCCACGAGAGCACTACGACAGTCAATCACAATGACAAAGGACCGTTGACTACAAAGGACCAAGTGAAGAAGACATTACAAAATCTGTTACAGTTCACTCGTGAAGCTGCTAAACTTCTAGACGTTTGCGACACGCACAAGTCTGGTCCACAAACACCAAAGAGTATTCAACACCCTCACCATACTTTGACGGATCTCTGAAGACAGGAACAGATTTTGAGTACGAAGTAAAATGTTAAAAGCCAAATGCGCTCCATAACAATAGCAGGCCAAGAAGCCTTTACCGTATGGGTCGGTCTTGCAAAACTTCGCAACACATGTGAGCAATGACAGAACAAGAGACGACACATTCCAAACAAACCAAAAGGAATGCTTGAAACAAAAATCCGTACACAAAGAAAATTGATAAAACGGAACAAAGCCTAACAGAGGGTCATCAAAAGCCAACCAAAAGCATTAATGAACAAGCTGCAGACACTGTAAGAGTTAACGAAGAAAGTAAAAATCCCGATGCTCCTCTAGAAACAAAACGCCAGTTTCATCATAAAAGCTCCGAGTTGGGGATAAACTAAAGGCACCAGAACCGAGGCCGCAACCCTGCATGGTGCAGAGCATTAAGACGACAAAGAATCGAAGGACACCCAGAGGAGTAAGCAGGCCAGTCAAAATCCTATTTAAGACACGAGTGCAAATAAAGAAATGGGGTGTCCATCACCACTCCAATAAGTACGTTACAAGACCAAGGAATGTAAAACCCTTGGAGCATTCAACTCTGAGGTAACATACCGATCAAGACAAACTAGTGTCAAAGATAAGCCCAAAAATCCTTGCGGATTCTATATACAGAAGAGGACCACTATAAAGCGACAAAGGGGGATTAAGAATGACCTGGATCAAAGTAAAAGTCACACCACAAGTCTTAGACTTAGTGAAATTGAAGCCATGACTGGTGGCTCAGGACAACACAGCATCAATTTTGAAGTTGGAGCCGCCGTTAGAGGAAAGGGCAATAATCTCCCCTCAAATTTGGAAAGGGAAGAGGAAGCTATAGTGTTTAAAAACCACTTAAGAATGACACTGACCAGGAATCTGATGTCTGTCTGCACCGGTGTCTTTTCCAGACAGCACTCTTACAGCAGAGGCATAGTCCAAAATCCACCAGAGCATACACTTCTGCACTAGGCGTAGCGAGGAAAATGAAAGGAGGTTCAAGAGGCAGATCGGATAGGTTGGAATGAGGAGCATAGAGGACGAAGACTCTGTCCGCCTTAACAAACCACCACGGAGGAAACGAGAGGGGGGCAAAAAGGTTACTCTGGAGGTTACCTAGAGGTGTTTTCGGGGCTTAGCGTCCCCTCGATCAGGCCTCCTGGTCGACGAGGGTGATGAGGATGGGCAAATGGTCACTTATGAGATTATCGAGGACACTCCACAACAGATCTATATAAATGGAGGACGAGCAATGGGAATCAATACAAGAAAGGGTGGGAATGCGCGAGTCGGCTTTCCTAATTCAAGAGACAATGGAGGTGACGAAAAGTTCCAGAAGACCGCCTTGGGTATCCGTCAGAGCATCACACCATGGAGAGCATGCCTAGTTAAAATCACCTACAAGAAGCAGTCTCCAATAATGAGTCCAAAGGCGCTAAATATCACTCGGGATGGCAATACCAGAACAAAAGCAGGTAAGGCTAGCAGCACCAGACTCTACTTGTTGAGGGGCAAATGGTTTCGAGGGACATTAGATAATTTTGTCCTGGAAATCGGTACATTGGACGAGGAAGAGAACGATTGTACATGGCACAGTGCAGTTTAGAAAGTAAGGAGTAGAGCAGTTCCATTAAGTAATTATATCAAAAGGTGCCAAGCCAGGGAGACTTATGTAGCATCATCAAAGGTGCAGGATATTCAAAAGGCGCCAAATATCACGAAGGATGCCAATACTAGAACAAAAGAATACAAGACGAATGTTTTCAAAGGTATCCGATTCGCCAAGGATTCTATCGAGAGAGAAATGACAGTGAGGGACAGTCGGGAAGCAGAGCTCCAAGCCGATGAAGTCTATGAGTTAAGGATGCAGAAGTGGTAAGAAAAATGGCTAATAATGTTCAACACAACAGCCAGGAGACCGAAAGGCCAATTCAAGATGAAAGGAAACAACCTTTCAATAACGATTAGGGATAAAGACATGGAAGTGAACAACACCAAACCTAACTTCAGAGGCCCTTGTAACTAACTTCAGCTGCATGGTAAAGTCTGAACGATCTTCAGGAACTTAAATAAGGATGCTATTAATTACTGAAGACTGGTCTCGCATAGACAGTCTTAAGACTATGCTGCCCCCATCATAAAGCCTTCCAAACAGCCATCTTAAAAAACACAGGTAAACTCAAAAAGATGCAAAAGTCTGCAATGAGACTTCCCAGCGTTGCGAGGGATGAGGTATGAAGAAAGAGAACTGAACCTAACAGCACTAGAAACAAGGAAAGTGTGTTTATAAAATAATTTGGGGGATTGATTGTGGAAAAAGATAATGTTTACAATTAATACTAATATAACAGCACGGATGGAAGCTCGAGACTCGGACTTAAGAGTTTTCTTTAAGCATAAGAGCAGTGAATAAATGAAGCGAACTAAAGGAGCCGGTTATTGAGGCAAACTCCATTCATAGCTTTAAAAGCATGTATAATTTTTTATGAGCAGGTATGAGAAACAGGTTAAGAGTCATTGCATTAGACAACCGACAGCTAAAGTGGGGTCCAAGAACTACAGCTTGATCATGCAGGCTCAATAGGAGGGCCGAGCATAAATAGGCAAGAATGCACATGCACAAACACACAACTATCCTCTCAATTTTATGACTTCCGATTTACCGTTCTGCAAGTCCCGAGATAGAATTTGAGGTCAGTAACTGCAACCTTATTTACAGTCTCATTAGCACTTAAATCCAGAATAAAGAGCAGAGTTTACAGTCAAGTGCTCATTAAACTGGACACCACTGTTAGATTTGCTGTGACACCTTTACCCTCCCCATGCCAACAGTCACATTTTTTCCTTTTACACATTTCACTACCTGTTATGAAGCAGTCACTCACAGCCAGAGCTAGTCAGGCATTCACAGCCAGTAACAGGCAGTCAGGAAATCAGTTATGCTAACAACTACTCAAAGCCAGTCAAGCATTCACAGTTGGCCACAACCAGTCGGTAAACAATATGATTTTTATGTCAGGCACTGTCAATTTCTCCCAGTGGTAGGGAACCCATACACTATTAATTCCATCCAGACATGGCTGAATGGTTGAGGGATAGGTGGGAAGGATATAGCTGGGAGTGCCCAGTGTGGGGATGGGAGCTGGGGGTGTTCAGTGATGTGAGGGATGTAGTAGAGGGACCCAGGTGTGGGAATGGAGGGATGGACCGGGTGTGACCTATAGGCCAACAACACAGTCTGTGTAAGTCCTAGTCTGATATCTCTGCCACCCGCTCTGCTGCCTGCCCACTGAGCCACCCAACTCCGTACTCGACCATCTGCTCTGCCACCTGCCCACCCACCTCACTTTCCCCGCCTGCTCACTGCTGCCTGCCTACTCTACCACCTACCAGCCCTCTCTCTGCCTGCCATCCATGTGTTCTTCCCTCACATTATTCTAAACAGTGCTTGCCGCTCTGTAACTGAAAGATCTTTTCTAACTTCCAGATCCAGATTTATTGCTTTAATAAACTTGGGAAAATTTTTGCTAACATCTCGTCTGCCCCTGACAGCTGAGTGGACAGCGCTCCATAGTCCAGAGGTTCTGGGTTCAATTCCCGGTGGAGGCGGAAATATATGGGCGGAGTTTCTTTCACCCCGATGTCCCTGTTCACCTAGTAGTAAATAGGTACCTGGGAGTTAGACAGCTGCTACAGGCCGCTTCCTGTGGGTGTGTAACAAAAAGGAGGCTTGGTCGAGGACCGGGCCACGGGGACGCTAAGCCCTGAAATCATCTCAAGATAACCCACAGATAGCCCCAATCTGTCAGCCAGCTAGCAATCCATCCACCCACCCTGCCTGATAGCCATCCATCCAGCCTAGCCCCCTTTCAAACTCTTGCAACTACCTGACCCCCCCCCCCCCCCAACTCTGCCATTTGCCTGCCAGCCAGCCAATTATCCATCCATCCACCTGCCTGCCCTGCCTACCAGCTAGGTATGCTGTCTACCCACCATCCATCTTTTTGCCCTCCCAAACATGACTAAAGAGTTAAGGACATTTTGATTCCTTCGTATTTAGTAGACCCTCTTGATTTAATGACCGAGGTATAACCCCATATGGGTCGTTAAATCGATTGGATACTGTGTATAGGTGTAATTTTAAATTTAAATGTATTAAACAAAATTAAACACAAAGCACAAAAAATAGATGTTTACCGAGAAGTCTAACTTTAGTAACAGACCACAGGCTGAATTATTTAATTATGAGGCTTTATTGAACATATATACATTTGTACGGTATATCTACTAGCCACAGTATCAGTTACCGACTCTCAAAGGTCAAGATTACTCAAATGCCCTAAAATATCCTTGTTCATAACATCTGACCTATGAGTCAAGATTGAGTAGAAGCTGAATATAAAAAAATTAGGCCTAAAACCAACCTTGGTACAAATTTTCAATAGTTTTCAAAAACAAAAATATACTTTTGTCCTTTCTAGTTCAGCCTATACAGTATAATATAAATCTGCAAACAATTTCAGTTTTAAGGGAAATTGGGGAAGAGAAATACAATCTTGGCATCATTTTTCCTATTCAAATTGTGATCTGTTTACATATTGACAGTACAAAAAAGTAGTAGAGTTGCGTCCTCCTGGTGAGGCGGGGTGAGGGGCAGTCTTCAGGGCGTTGCTCACCCCTCGCGCACTACACGTCTACATCAATGTACATTTCTACATCCGCCCACACTTTACAAGCAAATAAATTATTCTCTGTTTAAGTTTTAAGTTTTAATAAAAGAAAGGTCAATGGCAACAATATGCCTATCACTTGTGTTTTGTATTTTTTTTCTTTTTCAAATAAAACACATACTTCAGTAATAAACAAATATAACAACATGACATGTGAGAAACACACTACAAGTAACATCCATCCCTCAACACTACTCACATTTACACCAACAATGAGATCAATGTACAAAATGAAATAGACATGGTTTTAGGTCAACAGGGAGCGAGGTGGGGGAGAGGAGGGGTGGCGGCAGCAGCAGCAAAGGTGGAGGGTCGTTGTGGAGCTGGTTACTGCCACTCAATAGCACAGCCAAAACTCTCCTCCCCCTGGTCTTGGGCTCCCTGCTTCACTCTCACTACCAATGTTATAGCTGGGCAAAGTCCCATCCATATACAGATGCAGTCCAGGCCTCAGCCAGTTTATTTAAAGATGAGGCCTGATTATTATGTATACTGGTATGTTGTGTGTGCAACAGACAGATACAGAGATTGCTACAGAGTTACATTTCAAGTTATGGATAAAAAGAAAGAGCATGGAAGGGTGACGGGGGCAGTTGCCTGGCCACAAGGGGGTTTCCTGGCTTGTTAGCACAGAGGCTCTACAACTCCACTTGTTGCAAATGGCTTCCCAGATGGAGTCAACACCTAACACCAGTAACCAGAATGCACACAATAAGCTGTGTAAACACACTGGGTCAAGTGGAGGAGCCAAAATTGGCTCAAAATTTTTAACGTGCACACCATCCTGTGCACTCTATGTCGCATCACTGGTTTAAGTACACCGTGGATACATAGAGATTAATGTAGGTCCTTAACAATAAGGTCCATTGTGATTAGTACATCATATAGGATTAATAAATAATTACACCATCTCTACTTACATTACTTGTCTTTGTTAATAAACATCAAAATGAACTGGACTTTATCATGTTCCATACAAATCATGATGTCTTATAAATTGAAAGTGGAATAGATTTTTTTGCACTCGAAAGTAGGAAATTGATTTCTTATAAACATATTTTTCCAAGACCACTGCACTGTTCATTCACTGCAAAGCTAGTTCTATTACAGCACATAATAAAGCCGTATTTGTAGTCACTTTCTTACTACACGACTATTTTCCATAACTCCAAGAGTTGCAAAGAAAAAAGTAAAAACACTTTCACGAGCACAGAATCACGATTTCATTGCAACAAAGTTCTAGTCACTTGAGCTAATTTCATGAGTCTGACTCTTTCACTTTACTGTCTGTATCTTCCTCCACCTCAATCTTCCTTTGTAATTCATTGCTGGTAGCCATTAGGCATGCCATGGAGTCTTTCATATCATGGTAAATAATATTTTTAATCTGGAGTTTATCCTCATGATTAGTATGTGTATCACTTAGATGTCGGAATTCTTGTGTCAAGTGGAAGCAGTATGAAATGTTCTCCGGAGAAACAAAATCTTCTGCCACTTTCACACAGTTGTGCAAGTTACGAACCTGTAAGATAAAACATATTGGTAATGAGTGTGTGGCATAGCCTCTTCATCTGAAGAACGGCCTTGTATTCCTAGTATCATCTTTGTGTTCAAGCATTATTACCAACAGCTAATCAAAGTAGAATGTTTAGTACCAGAATAGAATCTACTCATACTTCAACAAACATATCCTGCATCAGAGCAAACCTCATTAAATTTTTTTTTTTTTTTTTTACAGTGTCATAGCATAGTTTTATGACCATTCTTTACTAACAAAGACAAAGTGGACTTTCAAATCAAAGGTAGAAAATAACTAGTGCAGGCTGCAATAGAAGCACTATAAAAAAAAAATTATTTGAGTCTTTCGTAGCTTAGCTGAATTTTTTTTTTTTAATTAAAAAAATTAAACTAGCATGTAGAAAATTGCAGCCCCTAACCCTTGTCATTTAACCAAGTCAAATGATGAAGAGTATATCAACAATAAAAAGCTGAATACAAAAGCCAGAAGAACAATAAGATACCTGATGAGGAGCTCCTGCTGGAATGAAGAGTGAATCGCCAAGACATTGGATGATAGCATAGCCCTCGACTCCGTACTCTTTGTACAGTCTCTCTCGAAGAGGGCCATCGAGGTACCAAGCCTGGTCATGGATAGGATCATGGTGTGGTTCCAACTTATCCCCACGTTCTATGGCCACTTTATTGAGCAAATCACGAATTTTATCAGAATCACGAGCATGATAAATATGCCACAGAGCTCCAGGTACCTCCTCCTTTTCACGTACTCTCCGTCTGGTCAGGATATCGCAGCCTGCTTCATCTATGGCCTTGAATGCACCTGCATCAAAAGTAAGGTAAAGCATTCAGAAAATGTTGTAATGTCATAAAACACAACAAATGTTATCTCGGTGGAAGAATATTGCACAACTTAAGATGTATACATGCAGAATTATTCAGCAAATGAGCTATTAATTAGATATCACATTACCAAGACTGCCAAATAAATTGAAGGCATTACCAGTTTTGTCCTAATATTCAAGCAGTTTCTAGGAATATATATGCAGTATCAACAGTACAATTCATACAATATAAAATCTATTATTTTACTATATTGACTATTCATTCACTGTCTACTGAAGAACTGAAGAACTAAGTGCAAATGCACTTCCCACTGCATGAACACTTACGTCTATACACTCTTCACCTAAAATATATCTGCTTATGAGCTCAAATCGAAGTACAATACTGTACTGCTATTTGAGCTAGAAAAAATCTACAGTAATTCCTAATTTTTATAATAATTTGTTCATGTCCACAGAGGGTGACCAGGTTTCATTAGTGATATTCTTCAAGGGTTAACGAGCCATTACATACATTACCAACACATGGACTGTCATTTTATCATAATGTACAGGTAAAGTCTGCAGAACATTTAATGAGGAACTTTTTCATAAATGAATTTTGATATATTTTCTTTAAAATAAAATAAAGGCAAAACCATGCACACAACAGGTATTCACAATTTGCAATTGCAATTTAAAAAGCAAGAACTTACCCTTAATGTGATCTTCATAATCTGCATCTTTTGGAACTCCAACATAACACATGACATTTACAGCATCCGAGATATCCAAGTGTAGATTCGTGGAAGCTCTATTTGGATGAATTGCCGACCCATACGCAATATACATTTTGGGCCCCAGATCTGGTCGAACAAAACATTCTGGAAGGCGACCAGCTAGATTAAGACGTCCATTTCTTCTTGTATACTCCCCCATTGGTAAAACACTCATTAAATCTTCAAATCTCGAGGGTAGCATCTCAGCAAAGTCATCTCCTGGAGGCCAATCTTTAAGTTTTAGTACCATTGGCTGACCCTTCTCATCCTTGAGTCTTTTTCCATAATTCTCAAAGCCATCCCAAAACTTCTTCATAGGTTGATTGGGCACAATATTTCCAGTTAGACAATTTATCAAATCATTTTTAATATCACCAAAATCCTTTGAAAAGGACTGAGGTGTCCAAAGTTCGGGATTGAGCTTCTGTCCCACACCAGATATTAAAACGGGCTGACCTCGTTTCCATTGGTCTTGAAAGAGGGGAGTGTTGCCTGGAGCCAAAGGTTCTAATAAACGCAAAAGTTTCCCATCACACAACCAAGAATGTGCCACACCCGGATACAACATGCTGCTTTCAGTCTTTGTCATAATCCTGATTGGCAGTGGATCCCGACCACGGGGGCCGTAGTTGTACCTGTTAAGTAAACAATAATAATATTGTACTGATTTTTGTATAAATGCTACATTAATAAATGACTGAAAAGAAAACAATTTAGATATTTTATCTTGTAAGACTTTGGTATCTTAGATCCTCTAGGAAATTCAAGTAATTGAGGGAGGGGGCCATATGAATCTACATTATATCCCATTTGATGCTGAATTGAGGGAGCTCCCAATCATCTACTCAACAAAATGGATGGGAGGGTTTTGTTAGTGGACTTAACCTGCATACTCCCCTGGGCAAAGCCTGGAAATGCATAAACAAAATTATTGGTAAAAATAAATATTGGTAATAATAAATTTCATGTTGAGCAAGCAACATGATGAATGTGATTTTTCCATACACAGATTATGAATTGGATGCAGCCCTCTCCAGGGGCAGTAGCACTGCTCCTGGTGAGGACGGCATCACCTATGATATTCTAAGACTCCTACATCTGTGTACCCGGTAACCCATTATTAGAATTGTTTAATGCGAGTTATAACTGGGCAACAGTCATGGACCAGTCAGTCATGGACCAGCAGTCTCACAGTACCTGTGCCAAAGCCTGGCCAACCTGATGCCTTTCATCCCATCCCTCTGACCAGTTGCATGTGCAAACCCTTTGAGAGAATGGTGCTTAATAGAGTATTGTATAGAGTTAAAGAGCACATGTCACCTGACATCAATGGTTTCACATGGTAAAAGTGTTTCACAACCTTTCTCACTGTTCTTGAAGATAGAAGGCACAAGTACACAACATTTCTTGATTTAAAAAATGCCTTTGATATTGCTAATAGGAAAGTGATTATGTACGAATTAGCGAGAATGAATATAGGGGGACAATTATTACAATGGATACGGGGCTATTTTACCAACCGGAAGTCCTCTGCACTGTTCCAAGGCTACAAAATTGAAACCAAATTAATGCAATTAGGCATCCCACAAGGAGGAGTACCAAGTCCTACCTTGTTTAATGTTCTAATTAATGCCTTACTAAAATCAATCCCAACTAGTCCAACAAACATCACTATCAGCTATGCAGATAGTGATGTTTGTACATACTAGAACCCACCACAAAATGCAAATAATCTTAAATTGTATACAAGCAGCTTGTGAGAGCCTTGATCTTGTAATCAAAGCTGCTAAAACCAAGGTATTTAACAGACAAATTGGCAACCGCAAAAGTGGACCACGAAAACTTTAGATAACATACCAATAGACTATGTCTCCTCTTTCAAATACCTTGGTGTGTCTGTCCCTTGAACCTCAAGTGCAGTCAATAAGTTACATCAACAATGTAGAGACAGACTAAAGGCTTTCAGAACTGTAGTGGGATACAGCCCTAAATATGGTGTTAATATTAGAATAGCAAAAATGATGTACTTAGCATATATAAGGTCTCTGATAGACTATCATGCACCAGCTTTAGTCCTGCAAAATGGCAAAAGTATTGATAGACTGGAAAGAATGCAAAATGAAGTACTCAGAATTATACTTGGCTGTCCTATAACTACCAAAGTTCTCAATATGCGGAAAGAATTAAATACAATATACTTAGCATTCGAGATAGAATATTTGAAATAAATCTCATGATGGGACTAAAGCTTCTGCATGATAATAAAAACAACATTGTGTCAGTTGAACTGTTAGAACACATACGAAATGGAACCAACGAGTCAAAATGGATTCGAAGAACAGCCACTCATATTAAAATGATGGGACTGCATGATGTATATACAGATGAAAGAGTACAGCACTTCCTTCCACCCTGGCAGATAGTACCTTTTGACATCCTGACCCCTGCATACCCCATCAAGAAACTAATCACAAACAACCCTCATGTTCAGCTTGCTGCTAAATTAAGCACCATAAAACACATTCACAATATACAAGCTGAAAACAACATAACACAGACCATATACACTGATGGATCACTCAATACAGCTACAGGGAGGGCAGGAAGTGCTGTTATTGCTCATCAGCCCGATGATAACACAATTCAAAGGAATATACGAATTAGTAACTGGGCATCCACAATGTAAGCTAGAGTTGGTAGCACTCAAAATTATTGACAACACTGAAGTAGACAGCTTAATTATTTCCGACTCCCTTTCCTCACTATTGGCAATAAACAATTCGCAATCAAGTAATAATGTGCTTGTCTCAGAAGCCAGACATAGATATATAAGCATACTTAGCAACAGTGTAAATATAAAAATGTTATGGATTCCTTCTCACATTGGCCTGCAGGAACATGATAAAAGTTGACGCCCTTGCTAAGGTTGCAGTAAATAAAGACAGTACTGAACGGAATCTTGAGTAATCAAATAGGTCCCTTAAAAGTGTCATTAGACGAAAACTCCTTGATGGATTTGAAGAAAGTAGAACAGTGCAAATTGGAATCAGCAGGTTCATTGTTTATCACAATGAAATTTGTGAAGTAAAACATGTGTATGGGGCAAGTAACAAAGTCAGTAGACTTAGATGTCACAGATCGAATAAGACTTGGCTACAAGTATCTCTGGCAGTTTGGCTTGTATAGGGATCTAGATGAAGTAAAGTGTGAGGACAAAGACAGGGACACACTCAAACACGATATCTTGGATTGTAGTAAAATTGAGCCATTTAGAGATAAATCTAAGCTCATGCTGTATGATATGGCAACCTATCTTATTACCAAGGATAAAAATACCTGAAATCCTTGCGCTGTATCCATATTTCGCTCCCAGTAGATAAATGACATATGAGATTAATTAACTCAGTATTGTGAAGACTAATAATAAACAGCAGTTACCCCTATGACTGTAATATCTCCATTGTTCAAACAATTATGTATTAGCGATAACACTTACCATTAACCCTTAGACCGCACAATACATATATAGATGATTTGAGAAAGAAAACCGGAACTGTGCAATACATTAATAGTTGTTCAAGTGTCTAGCGCCTTGATTTAAACGCCCCACGTGGGATAGGGGCAGCTATAGTGCACCCATGACTGATAGTTGACAGATGCCACCAAGAAAAAAAATCGTGGCCCAACATTAACATTCCTGGGTGTGAGCTTCAGTACTGAGCGAGCCACCAAGGCTGACGCATGCAGCATGAGCTCACAGAACCGCTGTTCAGCTTGTGACCACATCGCCTAAAAATGTAAAAATATATATGTTCATGCTATTATATAGCAATGATAGTATTACAGAAGAAGACCCCCGACTGTGATAAAACTGACCAGGATTCTGATAATAGCAGGATTGTGGTGATATTTAGCGCTGTGCTCCATGGTGGGAGGAGTAATGTTGAGGGAGGGAGGGAGGTGGCATCGTCTTCTGTGTGTGGCCACCTTTTATTGACTGGACTTACCACACCAGCTTAGTGGTTCACTATGAACACAAATGTAGATACTTTATACATAACGTATGTATAGAGTGTAATAACAGCAATAGGAGTATGTTGGGGGCCGCCATTTTGGTGAGGGAGGTGCGTTGTCTGCGTGATATGTCTTGTTTACTGGTGGCCACTATGGTCTTTGGGAACCATGCTAGCTTATTTGTACAGGTATGGTGAATAAAACATGTAGATACTTATATATAATGTGTGTTTATAATATAATAACACAAGCAGTATTGTTGGAGGAGAAATATTAGTGCGTCTGGCCTTGAGGGCGGCCGCCACCAGCTGACTGTGTGAGTAGCTATGTCTTACTGCCTTTACTCACCATACAAGCTTAGATGTACAGTTATGGTGAACAAAACATGTAAATACTTATATATAACGTCTGTGTATAGTGAATAAATGCGAAAACAGTATCATGGGAGGAGAATGTGGGCGAGTGAGGTGTTGTTGAGGGAGGGAGTGGCAGCGAGTGGCTGGCTGGTATGTGGCGGTCACTCCTCGTTGCTTTTTGACTCACAATACCAAATTAGTGGTTTGTTATGGTGAGTAAAACATGCAGATATATACATATAACCTGTGTTATATAGTGTAATAACAGCAAAGCTATTTGTTTATTGTTTTATTAATTAACATAATTGAATCACTAATATGAATACAATAATTTTGAGTACAGCGATGGTTCACACATTATACACACTACTGAATACTATTACTGCAAAAAAAATATATATATATATTACTGCAAAAAATAAAGAAAAAAGAAAAAATCAGTCGGAGACATTGAAATAATTAGGTAATAATATCTTTGTGGCAACCCCCACCTGACAGCACGGGAGGAGCAGACCTTGTCTGGCGACTGGCTCTGTCAACACCTCTTTTTTTTGCCTGACTTCCCCACCCTAGTGCACCCAAAATATACCACCTACGATTTTTTTTTATTTTTCCCGTGATCTGGGAACATAAATGAACAAACACTTTTATAAGACGAGAGAATTTTGGGGATTTTTTTTTTTGTGCCTGTGGATGTTGAAGCCATTATGACCCTTAGCAGCCCAAGAGTTAATGTATAATGACTTACTGTAAATATATAGCTCTTGAAATAGAACATTCTCTGTAACTAGCCGACATGTAACTATAAGGTGTGAAGGATAGATGAAATTGTTTATGTAATAATCTAAGATGAGGTCTAATAAAGACCTTTTGTGCCCTCTGTAATGCTTTTGCACTAACGCTCACAGGATGAGTATGGGGTGCACAATAAACTAGCCACCTCCAGCAGCAACAATCAAATCCCAATCATCTGGAAAAAACATAACACTAATACTCAAGGGGGGACAAATAGAAAGCCCTTGACAACAATTTAACGCAGGAATGGGGGGGTCTCCAATTATGGCAACTGCTTAGTAGTTTACCCCTTGAAGCCACAACAATTTTCCAGCATCTTTCCTAGTACAGTATTATGAAATGGCATGAATGTTAATGATGTCCTAATCATCATACAGATTATTTTAGGATCAAATAGAAATAAAAAACAACAACTACTTTGAAACCCCCTAATAATGAAAGATGGTCAATCAAGTTCAAAGCCTTCAGAAAACCTACCAACAAAAACTTCCATAATTTTCATTCTCGTCACAATGCAATATGAAGAAAATGATCTGTGGTGATTTAAATCTTTCCCTAAACATTTACGAATAGTAACCAAGAATGTCCTAAATACATTATATAATTATGAAATACAGAATGAGCACAACCAAGACCAACTGTAACACTGTCAAACCAAAACCTGTACACTGTCAACAGGTGTACAGGTTCCCGAGCCTATTGGACTCTATCATATCTACACTTGAAACTGTATATGGAGTCAACCTCCACCACATCACTGCCTAATGCATTCCATTTGTCAACTACTCTGACACTAAAAAAATTCTTTCTAATATCTATGTGGCTCATTTGGGCTCTCAATTTCCACCTGTGTCTCCTAGTGCATGTGCCCCTTGTGTTAATTAGCCTGTCTTTATCTACCTCTAACAATTTCCTTGAGAATCTTGAATGTGGTAATCATGTCCCCCCTAACTCTTCTGTCTTCCAGCGAAGTGAGGTTTAATTCCCTTAGCCACTCCTCGTAGCTCATACCTCTCAGCTCGGGTACTAGTCTGGTGGCAAACCTTTGAACCTTTTCCTGTTTGGTCTTATCCTTGACTAGATATGGACTCCATGCTGGGGCTGCATACTCCAGGATTGGCCTGACATATGTGGTATACAAAGTTCTGAATGATTCTTTACACAAGTTTCTGAATGCCGTTCTTATGTTGGCCAGTCTGGCATATGCCGCTGATGTTATCCTCTTGATATGGGCTGCAGGGGACAGGTCTGGCGTGATGTCAATCCCCAAGTCTTTTTCTCTCTCTGACTCTTGAAGAATTTCATCTCCCAGACGATACCTAGTATCTGGCCTCCTGCTCCCTACACCTATCTTCATTACTTCATTACATTACATTTGCTTGGATTAAACTAACAACCATTTGTTCGACCATTCCTTCAGCTTGTATAGGTCTTCTTGAAGCCTCAAGCAGTCCTCCTCTGTCTTAATCCTTCTCATAATTTTGGCATCGTCAGCAATCATTGAGATAAATGAATCTATACCCTCCGGGAGATCATTTACATATATCAGAAACAAAATAGGACCGAGTACAGAACCCTGTGGGACTCCACTCATGACTTCACGCCAATCTGAGGTCTCACCCCTCACCGTAACTCTCTGCTTCCTATTGCTTAGGTACTCCCTTATCCACTGGAACACCTTACCAGCTACACCTGCCTGTCTCTCCAGCTTATGTACCAGCCTCTTATGTGGTACTGTGTCAAAGGCTTTCCGACAATCCAAGAAAATGCAGTCTACCCAGCCTTCTCTTTCTTGCCTAATCTTATTTTTTTTTTTTTTTTTGTGTGTGTGTGTGCGCGCGCAAGGGGGGGGGTTGTGCTATTTATTTTAATTAGCCTATATTTTAATGTCTTTTTAATGTTTTCGTCACTCTTTGTGATTTGAAATGAAAATGGTGGAGTTTGGAAACATTGACATTAACTTTACCTGAACATTTAGAAAAAAAAAAATGTGTCCTTAACAATTGCACTATGAAAGTTTTGCCAAAAACAAGTGCGCAGTGCAGGGTTTATTAAACTCGCCGGGCTCATCCTTATTTCATATTTCATTAATTTATCCATGAAATAAATAGAAGCTGCCTGGAATAGGCTAAGAGGCAACTCATATTTACATGCACAATATAAATAGGAAGCCATTAATATTTGCATCATTCATTTAAATAAGAGCTGCCATGTACGGCCATTAGGGCTTTTGAGGTTTCCTATTTTTTACTGATATATATACATTCAATTTGTTCAGTGCACAAAACAGACTACAAATGTAAACATTCCATCCAATTTCCACTTTTCAGTGTATTTTGCATCTAAATTAATCATTCTAAGAGGATTTTTTTGTTTTTCTTCTTTTTTGGGGGCATCTAAATTAATTGCTGCATGTTAGGTATTAAAACAATAAACAAAATTCCAACTTACTTTCTGACGAAATGTTTGAGCACTATCTGATTGTTGTCCTTCACATCCTCTTTACTAGAAGTATGTTCAATTACACTAGATATGATTTCATCCACAGTGTCCAATTTGGGCTTCTTTTTACTCTCCTTGCTGGGCTTTGTGCTGATCCCAGATTCTTCCTTCGTATTTCCATTTGGCTGTATTAATAGCTTCCGTAATGTGGAAAAGTTGCCCTCTTTCTCGTCAGAATCAGAATCTGAGTCAGAATCAGAACTCTGCAAAATAACAATGTGTTTATTAATTATGCACAAATTAATAAATTTGTAATGTAGGAAGGCTGATAGACAAGATATAATTAATATAAGAAGTAAAAACCTTTACAAATCAATTAGGGCAATTACAATTCTCACGTCTAATAAAATTTACGCTCTTTACGCTTTAATTTACGAGAGGGATGGGAAAAATATTGTACTTGAAAGACCACATTTATGAACATTCTTTCAAATATAAAACTACAATACAACAACAACATTAATAATAAATACAATAACAATAATAATAATAATAATAATAATAATAATAATAATAATAATAATAATAATAATAATAATAATAATAATAATAATAATAATAATAATAATAATAATAATAATAATAATAATAATAGTGACATTCAGATTAAGGAGAACAGTGATGCAAAGAATCCTCACAACCCATAAAATTTAAGTTTGTGGAGAAACCCAAGAGGGTCAAAGCAGTTAAAATGTTACAATGATGTGCATGTTGTAATGATGCGAAGGTTACAATCAAAGTAGGACATTTGTTTGTGTATTCAGGCACCTAATAGCATCCGTAGAGCTGTTAATTTGAACGATTAACGATTCTTAACCTTAAGTGATCGGGTACTGCCAAGACCTAAAAGAATTCTCAAGAGAAGAGAGATCATACAAAATGTTCTAGGGGGCCATGTTTCTAATAAAGACTATGGACCAACAAACATTTAGAGAGTGGCTTTTAAATTTGTACAAGGTGGACTAAAAATACCTTACTATTGAAACTATTATAACTTGACTCTTAATAATAAAAATGCATGTAGTAAACAATTTGTTTCTCTTGGAAATTATGCATTTGTTAAAAATTACTTCCTGCCTGTTTATATTGAATATTACAAATAAATTCCAAAGGAATTAAAACAGCAGCTGATGATTAGATCCAAACTCGGGTTTGTTTATGAAAACCTTATGGTAATACTGTACGAAGAATATAAGAAATGGATTTGATGAGGAGTACTTGTTAATTTTATTTTCAAATGCATATGTGGTATTACATTAAAATGTACCCTCTAGAGTAATGAGATAAACTTCACAAACGATGAGTAGCATGGATTTAGAGGGGGAAAGTCATGCTCGATCAATATACACCAAGCATTTGATGCCATTCCTCACAAAATACTGATGTACAAGATCGAGGAGCAGGGATAGCTGGAGAAACTGAACTAGGTGTTACACATACCAAAGCTAAAAGATAAAAGAAAAAGAGGTGATATGATCAGTGTATAAAATAGTATTGTACTATACCAGGAATCGACATTTACATAGAATACTTGAAATTGCAACATCAAGTTTAATGGGGTCATAAATTCAAATTTAGGAAACAAAGCTACCAAAAAAAAGTTAGAAAGTTCACTTTTGCAAGCAGAGTGGTAGATGGCTGGAACAAGCGAGGTGGTGGTGGGTGCCAAAATTATCGGGAGTGTCTGAGCATTACAGAACAGAGTACTGGGAAGATGGTATACCACAAGTGCCACCACCTGGATAGGACATTTAGGAGCATAGCTCTTATCCTGAAACTACGCTTAGGTTTCCAGGATGCACTGGAAGACCTTCCAGACAGGAAACAAAGGGTCATAATCTGAAAGGTGCCGATATAGAATCGCCTACCAGAGGGAGTGAGCCTTTATATGTCAGTGTTTGCAGAAGATGCAAAACTAATGAATTAAAAACCAAAGACCTTAATAAGCTGCAAAAGTTGGAACAAAAATAATTGCTAAATATTCAGCCCCAACAAGAGGAAGAAAAATTACAGGAATCAGAAAAAAGAAAGAGGACTTGGGAATGAATATAATTCCAACACCCCCTAACAAAAGACACACAAACAGGATAACAGCAGCAGCATATAGGAAAGTTGACACACATAAGAACAGAATTTAAAAAGCTAAACGAGAACTCTTCAAAGACAATTTACACGACCTACGTGGCTTCTGCACCTCGTGAGGCACGAGAAGACTAGGGCCATACGAGGACAGGGTAATGGACCTAAATCTAACAGAATAAAGGAAATAGAAAAGATAGACAAGGACACTCATCATGGAAAGAAAATACATGAGAGCATCAGTGGAAGCAGGAAACACAATCATATCACAGAACTAAGGAAATACTTGCACCCTGTATGGGTGGTCAGCAACTTTAATATGCCGAAAGGACAAACTGTCAAAGTTACTTCCATCCACAACTTACAGAACAGATACTAAACAAGGTTTATTAGGCTCAATAATGTTATAAGTTCATGTGTGTATAACAAACTATTTACTAACTGGCCTTTAAGCCTTCCCATTTAACATGAACATCTCATTGCCTTAGTGTCTTAGTTAACTCAATTAATATATTCAATTGATTCGGTGATTTGCTACCCATTATTATTGACCAAGACATTATGGACATTAAAAACAAAATTGCAAAATTAAAAGATCATGTGTTAATCCCGGGATAACGTGGTTATTGTCGTGTGTTGATTTTAGTTAATATCAGTTCATTTTTATAGAATGTACGTATTATAACCATATATAGATAATGTATACTGATGTACTGGAATTAACCAAGACTCACAAATAAATAGTACTGAACTATAGTTCTTAATTGTTTACTATGTGATAAAGTTATTGTGTACTGTACTTGCAATTATCATAAAATTTCAATTTGGTCTTTCTCACCAGTGTTTGTTTCTGGACAACATTCCCCGAGAGAATTGGAGCAAAGGAGTGGGATGCAAGACACGTCCTTTGATCTGTGCTAGGAACAAACTTACATGAAATACAGGTGAACACATTAAAATGAGTACTGCATATAGACCTGCAATCACTCTTTTAGTCAATTATGTGTACATAAGTATTTGATCCACACACTGCATAAACTGAAGTGAAACCTCCAACAAACATCAGAGCCCTCACCCCCTATACGATAAGGAAAATTATGTAGCAATGTGACCATAGACTCCACTCACCCCCCTCTCAATATGTATGAAAAGACATACACAGCCAAAGCTCAACCCCCAAAAGCACAACTAGGTGAGTACTTGGATGTTTGTGCTTTTCTTTGTATTTTCATTCATTTTTTCTTGCATGTAAGAAAAACACTAAAAAGAGGACACTAAAAAAAGGGGACACTAAAAAGCCTCGAAATCATCTCAAGATAACCTCAAGATGTACAGTAAATGAGCCATTTTATGAAGGGTTTTTTTATCGCAAAAGCAGATAGCCGTTCCTTGAGGGGCTACGAAATAGAAAGGCATACCTTACAAATCACACCAAGTTCTATGACAAGATTGACCAGACTCGGCACGAGAATCATAGTTTGATTACATCTTTCTAGACTGCCCGGAAGTCTTAAAAGACTGTCCTCCCACACTAAAGACAAACAAAGAGTTAGAAAAACAAGCTGTGTAACAGGAGATATTTGAGAAGATGTTAAGTAATGCTTAAATACTCGAGTATTTGACACGTAGGAAACAGAGGACTGAGTGAAGAGAGAAAGTCAAGATGTTGGTAAGTGACAAGTCCCACCAAGCATGTTATTCCATTCACTATGTTTCTGATTTGTAAATTTCTTCAAAGGAAACTAAATTTAACAGGCATAATAACGCCAGGAAAGAGCTCCAAAAGCAATTTCAGTAAAATGCACCATGTTGGCAATATCAGCATTCCAGCATTTAGTCACCTAAAAAGTGTTCAAGTTTCCATTCATTGTTATACACAAGGAATGAGTACAGCAATGCCACTCCACTGCCGTATGGAGGCAGACTTCATATACAGTTTCAAATGTAAATATGATAGAGCTCAAGAAGCTAAAGAATCTCTACACCAGTAGATTGACAGTTAAGAGGCGGGACCAAAGAGCCGAAGCTCAACCCCCACCCCGCAAGCACAACTGGGCGAGTATAACTAGGCGAGTACTAGCAACCAATAGGTTGTATACCAACTGGCAAATTCACTATCTGTAGTTCAAGCTATGAACCTATTAGAATACTTTGTTAGCAATAAGAAGCTTATGTGAAACCCTGTTCACAACCAAGATTTTTATACCAAGGAGAATTCTTTCGATAAAACTATCCAGCCCATAACATTTTAATAGAATACCAAACAACTATGTGATGTGATCACATGAAACCAGTTAAGGCTGCCATGTTGTAAAACATATTAACTGATGTTCTCAATGATCATGATAGCAATAATCCATCTAGCTTCACTACAATTTCATATATAAAAGGTACCTACTATATGATAAATCATTTACTCACCTCACTCTCACGTTTGTCACTGGATAACGCAACATCAGCAAAGAAGTTAAGAGGGGAGTTGGACATCTCTTCATCTTTGCTATTAACCTTCTCTGTCTTCTCCTGCTTTATAATTCCATTAAATAGTTCTGTCTTAGGTTCTTTCTTAATGTCCTTGAGCAGATCTTTGTTCACACCATTGACTTTCTTCTTGTCATCTTGAGGTGCTTGGTCTTTGTACTTTTTAGCCTCTGTACAATCACAATACTGAGGGATGCCCCACTGATTCCGCACCTCGTGCACTTTCCTACCCAGATCAAGGAGTGCATTACCAGATATAATCTGCGTAAGCATTAGTTTATCCTGTTCATGAGGAAGTCTAGAAGCACACAATAGCCATGAGTATTCATCACGATCTTTTCCCCCTTCATCCCACACTTTAACTGTTCCATTCTTTCGACCCTTATAACAGTCTATGCAAACCACAAAGCCACATTTACTGCATGCCCAATGGATGTTAAATAACGTCGTTTCACACACATCGCACATTTCACGAACTCCCTGCACAACTCGTTTCCATGCCACTACAGTATCTGCAAAAAAATTAATTCATAAGTACTCCTGCTGCAAATTGGTGAAAAATACTCATACAACATTAATATTAATAACAATGTTTCTGTATCAAAGGCAATTGTAAAAAAAGGAGAGAAGAGATCCTGAGCTGGAATATCTTGGGATGCGAATAGGGTAATGTAAGGAGTACAGATTGGTGTAACAAGTACAGGCAAGAGGTTAGTGTTAAGAGGATGGAGAAAAAATGAAAGCCAAAAGAGATAAGAGGTGGTGATTGATACTACAAGAAGGTCGTAGGGAAAAGTAAGAAATTATATAATCAAAATGTACTGGTGTGGGAGGGGAAAGTGGGGATTGGAACCAAGATTTCACTACATATATACACCCAATTTGGAAACAAATCAGTGAAATTAATCAGCTAAAATTAAATACTGTATGGTTATATTATACAAATTCTAAGTAAAAATCCATAATTTTTTAGTCATTCTGCACATCAGAAATAAGCATTTCATCTGACCAATTTCTCATAACAATTTATGACTAGACCATTATGTTTTAAAAATCTTTAACCACACATTACTGTATTGTACTATATTTCCACTTCCCTTTCCCTCATGCCACCCCATACTAAGACTGTGGGAAACATTCTAACGGGAATCAATAGGTGAATGAATAAATGTATTTGTTAAGAAATTAGAAATGTCTATTAAAACTAGTATGGTCATGAATATAAAATTTACATCTGGTATATGGTGCATTTTATGATACATACTCTTCAGGGTTGAAATATTGTTTGTTGCCGACAACTGGGAGCATTCCATAGCAACAGATTTGTACATTTAAAGTACAGTTATACTTATTTACTTTTAAAGATACAGATCAAGGTCTTAATTTCCCCACCCACATTACTTGCATCACCACATACAAGCGTTCAAAGTTTCAAGCCACTGCACGAAGGCATTTTCCAGATTTTGCACCAAACATTTTTTTAAGGTAAAATAAAATCCTGTGAAATCATAACATATAAGAAACCTGGGAAAAAACTCATAGGGAGAATGTAAAGTAGTAAAGTATTGTAAAGTCACTAGTGATAAGTATCATAACACCAAAATCAGCTCTCCTGCATCCACCATCAGATTAGGGATTTGCAAAGTACCGAATGTGTTAGTGACCAAGAATCTATGGTTCTCAACAGAACTGCAGATGCCAAGACATACACAGTACATCATCACTATATCTTATTTTTAACAACATTAAGTACTGTGCAGCCTAAAACTAGTAGCTAAAGAATGCAGTGACCACAAACAAAATTCTGGCACCATGAAAAATGGTCGTTGCCACTAAACACAAATATTAATCTAACTTTTGCTGAAATATTAATCTAACTTTTGCTGAAGGTTAATAAACATAGCTCAACTTATAAACAAGTCAAAGCCAGGTGGGTATGGGCAGAATTCTGTGCCTTAACAAGACCACAGGCCAAATCCTTTTATGATGGGATGCTTATCAATTATCGCTTATCCTATGGCAAGAAAGGGGCGGCTCCACAAGCCACAATCAACTGCCCCGAGTTAGCAGGACATACAAATTGCAATTAGAACCACTATATGAACACTGATCCAGGAGCATGGTATGGAATGCATGCAAAAGCCATAAGGAGGCCAAGTATGTCTCCAAAGACTACATAAGGGACCCATATCCATCCAAACAATCAATCTGTTCGTTTAGAAATATCTCAGTTTTGGTGGACAACAGAGGAGAAAACAGTGATCACAGAAATCAAAACACACGATCCAAATTTACAACTAGGTGTAAGCAAACAACTTTACAGACATTGTGGAGAAACAATTCTGAAATCTTGTATCTGTATATACAAGATGAGGATATAAGATTGATGAACATGACAAGGAATTGCCAATGACATTCATAAAACCCTCAGAGGGACTAGTGGTGGTCTGACTATCGATACTGCTATGTACTAGTTAGGAGAAAGATTACAGGGTATTTTCTGCAAATAGATTGATCAAATTGGTGGAAATATAGGTGGGTCTCAGGAGGAGAATGGCGATGAACTCCATTCATCGAGTTCAATAAGGCTGAATGAGTCCAGCCTTAATTTAGTTTTTCTCTGCCTTATAGCAGTCAAAGTGTGCTTTTTATATATACATACGGTGTATAAATATGCACAAATGGCATTTTATCATTTGTGGTAATAAATTATTTGCTATAAAAAAATGGTATCAATGCAACTGCAGAGAGCTCTGGTGCAACAAGCTATACATGCAGCCAACCAGTTCAGACCTAAAAAAGAAACAGGTTTATGGGGTAAAATGCATGGCAAGCACTTGGGTGTCACATCCACAGTGGATAACTTTGTTATTCTTCCCACTTTGGATCAGAAAATGAGCGTCATAATCCACTAGACAGCTGGTTCAAGTCATTTGCACCCTACTCCTCTGCTCCCCTACCTAGGATATTATTCTCAAGAAAAACAGGCCTGCCAAACTGCCTGCATCATAAGTATCATTGTTTTTTAAACAAAACATGGAACATTTAATGACATTTATAAAATTCATTTAAATAGTAATTAAGCTGATACAACTTTCAATAGTAAACCTTAATTATAAAAACATTACACATCCTTTAACAATATGATAAAAATCCAGAGATAGATTATTAGAAGAGAGAATGATGCAGAAAAAAAGTCAAGTAAGGTGGAGAAATTAAGTGTCAAAAAAGAAAAGTTTTGCATCAGAGTTAACTGATGCCAAAACAATTATTGCCCAAAAATCATGGTGCTTTATTATAAATCTCAGTCATGGGAATAACAATATTTACATAAGTTACCAAAGTATTGATTTTATTGTTTATTCAATATACAAATGCATTTTCTTGAATTGATAAAATAAACTTACCATCACCCATGTGGAGAGCCATTGCTTCTTTCTCTTGTTCTACCAAGTCACAAAACTGGTCACCAACATGGGTCAACAGGAACTTGCTGGTATCAACATCCAGATCATTTGGAGGCCTATCAATGTCTGGCACCCACAGCTTGAGATCTTCTCCATATGCATCCTTAATGGGATCAGAAAAGCCAGCAACTGCTAGCTGTCCATTTTTGGTGTAGCGAAGGCGACGGAAGGCATAAAAACGGCAAAATATATTGGGCATTTTCTTGTTTCTCTGGTGCGCAGTCCAACGACACTCACGACATTTGGGCAGTTTGGGAGCCACCTCATAACATGATCCATCTTGCAAGAAGCTCTCCCCTGTTTTCTTTAACTGAGATACGGGAGGTTTCTGCAGAGGATCATTTTGTGGGGGCTCCTCTTTGGATTTTTTTGGCTTTGGACCATCTTCCTTGTCCTTTTCTTGTTTAGATTTTGGCTTTCTTCCTCTCTTTTTAGGTTCAGAATCTGGCTTTGAAGGTAAACGTCCAGAATTCTTTATAGTTGTTTCACTAGCATCACTATCTTTTTCACTGTCACTATTACTATCACTACCCCTCTTCATCTTTTTTAATTTTCTTTTTCCTTTACCTCTTTTAGATTTTTGTGTGGTACTTCCTTCAGAGTCGGTCGAGCTCGAGTCGCCCTCTTTTATATCTTGACTATGCCCATTAGGTATGCTATTCACAACTTTTGGCTTACGTGCAATAGTTTTAGATTCAGTTTTAACAGTTGTAATGGTGGTTGTAGTTGGTTTTGAGGATGCAGTTGTAGTACTGGCCGGAGGTGGTGTTGCTACTCTAGTTGAAAGACCCGCCGAAGCAGAGGTAGGGGGAAGAGCATCCGGCGTATTTTCATGTCTCTGGAGCCAGGCCTTTTTAAGCTTGTGCACATATCCACCTACTGGACCTGGACTACTACTCTTCTCGGGTTCAGGTACTTTATTTGTTCCGGGAGAAGAAGAATTTTCTGTACGTTGCAACGTTGGGGTAGTGGCAGGGGGAGGCTGACTGGGCGGACGCGAAGCTGGGCTTGCCACACGTGACAAATTTGCTGACACAGCAGTGTTTTCCACTGTAGTAATAGTAGTGGCAGCAGTTGGGTACAGAGGACTAGGTTCCGATACCCGAGATAATAATGGCTGATTATTAGTCGTTTCAAACTTGGCTTTCTTGGGGTCCTGTGGAGTGGGTGTTTGGGTTCTTCTTTTGCTAGGAGATGCAGTGTCTTCACGAGTACCTAAGTCAAGTGGTTGTGTTTGTGTTGGCTGTGGAGAAGGATGTGGGGTAATGTGAGGGGTTGCAAGATGTGGAGATGTGGCTGCAGGCATTCTTACAGGAGGAGGACCTGGGGCCACTACATGTTTATGGTGTGGAGAAGGTACTGTGGGCGGATAGATACGAGCATCATATGGAACTCTATCCATTTGAGGCCTCTGTTCATGGGAAGGCATTGGAGGCCTGGATTCACTAAGAGATCCTCTTCCTGAATGAGCAGGTGGAGGACACGTGACTGGAGCTTTACTTGTTAAAGGAACAGGTTGAGTCGGTCTTGAATCAACGCGACAAACAGGAGTACCCGTGGTAATGCCAGGTTTCCCATATATTTGGGGAGGAGGTGAGCTAACCTTGGACTTTGCAGAGACGGAGGAAACATGAATTGGATTGGGAACCAGCCCAGCAGCAATAAGATTAGAAGAATATGTTGTGGGTGGTGGCCTGGTCCCTGGAGGAAAATAACGATCAGGATGGGCTGGTGAAGGGGAAGAATGTGGAGATGACTGTGGCTGCCTGGCTTTCGTCAACTCCACACTATGAGGCAAAGACGGTGGATGGTGCGAGGTGTTGCTTCTGTGTAGGGATGGAGATGGATCATGTGATTTGTACGCTGAGCCAGGTGGGTATGGACTAGATCTTTCAGGGGGACGTTGCTTAGGACTTACAGAATGTGGTGGAGCTTTCTCATACTTCACTTCTGGCTGTATGATAACAGATGTTTTATCCCTTGGATCATGATACTGTGAGTAGGGTACCCTTTCAGACGTATGTTGAAGCTTCGCTTCTTTAGGAAGGTAGTTTGATGGGTAGTTGCCAAGATTGAAGCTTGGTTCTGCAAGTTTAGGCAAACCTGCAGGAGCTGTGGGCTTTTCCACGGGAGGTTTAGATAAGTGAGCTGGTGGGGGATAACGCATTTTGATTTGAGGTTCCCTTCCTCTATCAGAATCTCGAAAATATCTGTATATGCTATCATGAACCATTTTTTCAGGTTCTTGAGCACGACGTATAGCTTCTTCCTGTCGTTGCTGTTGCTGCTGCTCTAAAAGACGACGCTCATCTATACTGTCCATGCGCTCGGTTTTGACCATTCCAGTCAGCTGATTCCAACCACCCACCTTCTGAAAAAAATGAGGATTTAATAATCATTAATAATACATCCCTTCATAAACCAAATTAAAACTATCACTGCAAATTACTGTAGGGAAAATATAAATATATAAATGTTATTAAATATGATAAAAGGGTTAGATCAACGATTATAGAACAAATTTTCTCTATTTCTCGAGTTCTTTGTGAGGACTTGAGAAGGCACTTTAAAAATTAATTGTCCAAAACTCCTTTTACAGTTTTATATGACCCGACACGAAGTGATGTGCATCGTTGAGCCTGTCAAATTTTTCAAGGGCAGGTGAGGTAAAATGTATACAAGCTAACTTGAGCAACCAAATATATAACCAAGAAGCATGGGGTGAAGTGAGGTATTGTAAGGACCAATAGGCCTCTTGTAATTTCCTTACTTATGGTTTTATGAAGGGTGGAGCAGTCTGCTGGATATTCTGTCTTTCTTGAAGATGGAAGAATGTACCAGAGTGTAAACTTGCTGTTTATAATGGGTTGAGATTGTTGGTATATAGTGCTTCACCAACGTCTAATCATCATCTGTTGTATATGAAAATTATTTGCTCGTTGTCTGGATCTCTCTGGTGATGATCCAGTTGTGCAAACATTATGGTCTCTGATGGAACCTTGTTGTTTGTGCATTGTCGGGCACTTTGATAGATTTTGTCTCGAGCATAATAGGAGTAAAAACTTTTTGCCTGTATATCGAGATTACCTGGAGCATACCTGGAGAGTCTTTTGGGAGTTTTACTGCCCGAGCCCACTTTGGGGCCAGGCTCGACCTAGGTCAATTGTTGTCAACAATTCCCAAGTGGACACGTGAAGGCATAGACGACATTAGTCTCTTACAAGGAGCTTTGCTTGGTGTAGGGAAGGTTCTTCAGGAGCAAGTTGGTGGCCTTCTTGGTCCTACTGATAAAAATATGAACCTTAAGGACACCATCCAAAAGATCAATGATAATCTACTACAGGAGCAAGAAAACCAACATGCTCATGAAAACCCTCCCAACACCAAGCAAAATTCCTTAAAAGAAACAAATATCGTCTATGCCTTCACATGCCCACTTGGGGAGTGCCATCCTCAATGATCTCAATAAATAGACAAGACATCACCATTTCTTTCAAGATGCCTGCCAATGCACAAACAAGGCTCCATTAGAGAACATAATTTCTACACAAAACCATATCATCACCAGAGATCCTGACCAACAACACCCAAATAGTCAACAGATACAACAACATTATAATATTAGACATCAACGAACCACTACAAATCAAACAATCACACTCGAGTACATTCTAGCATCTTCAAGACCAAAGCAGAATATACAGTATACTGATCAAATCCTTATAAGAATGTAAGAAGGAAACTGCAAGAGAGGCCTATTGTCCCAACACCTCACCCTGCCTGGTTATATATTCAGTTATATAAAAGCTAACTTATATACACTTCACCTCTGCCTTTGAAAATGTTGACAGGTACAACAAAACACATCTCTTAGTGTAAAGCCATTACAAATAGTAAAATAACATTTGGAGAGTTCATTTTTCAACCAAGTTTTCAAGTAAAGAACATGAGAAACGGAGAAGATTCATAATAGAATCTTTGATCTAATATTATATATATATTTATATATATATATATATATATATATATATATATATATATATATATATATATATATATATATATATATATATATATATATATATATATATATATATAATATTAGATCAAAGATTCTATTATAGATTCTATATATATATATATATATATATATATATATATATATATATATATATATATATATATATATATATATATATATATATATATATATATGTCGTACCTAGTAGCCAGAACTCACTTCTCAGCCTACTATGCAAGGCCCGATTTGCCTAATAAGCCAAGTTTTCATGAATTAATGTTTTTTCGTCTACCTAACCTACCTAACCTAACCTAACCTAGCTTTTTTTGGCTACCTAACCTAACCTTACCTATATATATAGGTTAGGTTAGGTTAGGTAGGGTTGGTTAGGTTCGGTCATATATCTACGTTAATTTTAACTCCAATAAAAAAAATTGACCTCATACATAGTGAAAAGGGTAGCTTTATCATTTCATAAGAAAAAAATTATAGTAAATATATTAATTCAGGAAAACTTGGCTTATTAGGCAAATCGGGCCTTGAATAGTAGGCTGAGAAGTGAGTTCTGGCTACTAGGTACGACATTATATATATATATATATATATATATATATATATATATATATATATATATATATATATATATATATATATATATATATATATATATATATATATAGATATAATATAGATATAATATATAGATATAATATATAGATATAATATATAGATATAATATATAGATATAATATATAGATATAATATATAGATATAATATATAGATATAATATATAGATATAATATATAGATATAATATATAGATATAATATATAGATATAATATATAGATATAATATATAGATATAGATATATTATATAGATATAGATATATTATATAGATATAGATATATTATATAGATATAGATATATTATATAGATATTTATTATATATATATAGATATACATATAGTAGTGCATGAATATACATACAGTTGTACCTATTTGTTTTCTATAACTGCCCAAATTTTCTTAAATCTGTTAAAAATTAAATTCAACAGAATGATAAACATGCTCAATTTAATAAACATGAAATTTTTTGTAATTTGAAACAAAACTAACTTAGCAAACTGACTTAAGTATACCTATTGCTTTACTCTGCTTACCTTAAGTAAAATTAGGCCTAAATCTATAATGTAACCAATACAATATTCATATTAAAATAGACAAATTTTTGAAGATACAATAAATTTAATATGTATACTGTACTACACATATTTATGACGTACCTAATAGCCAGAAGTATATACAAAAAAAATAAGTTTCAAAAAGTTAACTTAGAGAATGTTAGATATTAGTAGAGCAGTGTGATCAACATATGCTAAAGGGATGTGGCTACTCTGCCATCCACACTGTGGTGCAATCACCCGAACATTCCTTTATTACAGGGATTGGGATAGGCACCCATCTTCCAAAAATGTTCAGCCCATTAACAGATTAAGCAAGCCTCAAATCTTGGGTCACAATTTCCAGGCCCAAGAGGGCAAATGTAGGTTCATGTGGCTGTGTGGAAGGTGAAAGGAGTAAATCGGAAACTAAGTTGCAAGAGGTGAAAATACCTACAGGAGACTTCTAGGTGGTAGGTTTGAGATCAAGACAAAAGGAAATATGAGTGAAATGGAATCATTATTAAAAGAGCAAAAGAAAAAGTTGAGTTATGCCACTGAAAAATCGATGTCAACTAAAAAGAAAAAAAAAGGAGTTATGGGGGAAAGATTAACTTCTACTATTGCATTGTGTGCAAAACTATCTGAACGAGCATAGGTCACGATTATTACAGTACAGTATTACATATCACCGAGTGACAAGCAAGATTGATTTTTTTAATAACTTAAGGAATAACATCTGTATAATACCTAGGAATTTAATAAAGAAAAACTAATGGTTGACATAAATGCTCAGGTTTTCAGAGGATGTAATAAATGTCCCAGCTCTTCTCCCTAGCTTTTTTCCCTACGATGTTGTAGTATACTGTACTTTATTAGTTCCCAATTAACACTTTAGCATTTCAATGACGCCAAAAAAAACATACATCCATACTCTAACAGTATATGTTCAAACGACACAAATATGCTAATAATAATAATTTGCATATTGTGAAAATAAGGTCTAGGGTATTTTCTAATTGGTTCTATAATTTACTGGATTAAGACAAACGTGTCACAGAATCTTAAGAGGCCTTTTATAACTTCATTTAGACCACTTTCTGAGATTCTCAGATATAATAGTAATTGCCACAGGTTTTAATTTTAGGTGCCATACACTGACTGCCCAGCAAGATGGTATTTTGAGCTAGGTTTGAGAGGCAGAGGTTTGTGAAAATCTAACATTGCTTAGAAACAGTGTTAGATTTTCATTCATTGGCCTTTACTGTATACTGACGAGGACATGCATCTACTCTGGTATACAGAGACAAGAACTAAAATTTTAATTTGTTTTCATTATAAGTACTTCCACCAGATCAGAAGTGGAGACGAAACAGTGCCTTCAACGTCTAATGGGTGGAAGAAATGTGATCGGAGACTGGGCCATGGGGCCATTGATCTCTGGAAGTTACACAAGGTAGACAAGGAAGGTAGCAGATTTACCTACAGAGCCAAGAAAGACATCAGTGAAGCCGAAATGTGGGGAAGCGTCAAGCGGTGTTGCGATTTATGCAGAAATTCGTAAATGTTGCAGATACGAGGAAATAGAATGGGCATGGTGATGGGCCAGAAGCTCTGGAAGTGGTAATGGGCCAATTGATTGGAAAAGAACAGTTCACCACTGAATAATAGTCTAGAATACAGAGAGTAGGAATTATGAAAATATAAACCCCCACTTATCATCTGTAAAATCTGGCCTAAATAAATTAGTAATTAATGTAAACATCATAATGTACCATAATTGAAGTAGATTAATTTGTGCAGAAACAAACTTTCAGGAAAATACAAAAACATTGCCTACTAGTAGTGCACTTCTGACTATTAGGTACAACATATACATATGAGAAATAAACTTAAAAACATAAAATTTCCCAGAGTGCTTTAGTATTCAACTCCTCAAAGAATACATTAGCACTGAAGCAAATTTTCAGTTTGTCTATGGGCTCCTGCATTTATGTATCGCATTGTAATTTTATTATATATATATATATATATATATATATATATATATATATATATATATATATATATATATATATATATATATATATATATATATATATATATATATATATATATATATAATATATATAATGTACATAAATATATACATACATAAAATGTATGCATATACAGTACACTGTACACACAAAATACAAAAATATGCCTTTTTAGCCTCCTAATACTACCACCCACTTCAATTCTTTTGTAATCATACAAAATAATTAAATAAATGCCTCTGATGCCAGTGCAATACATCAATCAGTGATAAGCTTCACAAAATCAAGTCACATTGAAAGCAGTCCCCACAGCAAACTTTGTAGAGAATATTAATACCCTGTGTGAAGGTCCAGTGAGAGACATGAGACACTCAAACATCTGCTATGTCCTTTCATGCCTCAATGAATGTTTTGATATAGAAAGATTTGATAATTGAACATGCAATGTTTCATGCTACCAATTCACTGGCTACATTACACTTAACGTACATTACACTTAATGACGGAAATGACAATTATTAACGTTCATTACATTTAATAACAAACCACAAAAAGATCAGCATTAAGAAACGACATTGGCGATGTTTTTAATAATGTTATTGGCTGCTGTTAAGATGAGCAATGATGGGAATTAGAGAGAGCAATAGTAAGAGTGGTCTTAGAATGTACACATAACAAGACTATGAGCAGCCACAATGGCCGCCCCCCACTGCTGTGGGTCGTACCTGGGCATGAGCTTGAGCCTGGTAGGCTTTACTGTGTTGTGTCATGAGGAGGGAGTGGTTGTGAGTTGGGTGGTTGGAGGGATGGTGGTTGGTCAAGCCGTGGACGTAATAGGCCTGGTTGAGGTGGTCGGCTGGCAAGTGACGCACGCTCTCTCCACCATGCTATAACAAACCATACACCCCTCATCAGACAAGTCTACCCACCCGCCACAACCTATACCACCTCTCTCGCACCCGCACAATAACTAAATTCCTTCGTAACTTGAATTTCACCAGTGGTCATTGCAACTGAAAATAATATATAAAAAGCAGGGGGGTTGGGAACTTTCAAATTCCACTTCCAAGCCCTTTAGCAACAGCAAGCAGTTCTGAAAACAGGTATGTGAATAAAACTATGCGATCTTAATTAATATATAATCTCTAAAAATTAAAAAAAATATTAATACAGGGTATTGAAAACATGTCATCTTAATGCACTCCTTTTCTCCTCTTCACTTTATACACACAATGGAAAGAAATTAGAAGTTTGTGTGAATTTACTTCATCTAAACTTTCCTGATAATTAAAATAAAAGCTTTAATTTTAATTACAACACAAATTCCATGAGCACAACAAAGAATATATATATATATACTATATATTGGTAAATGTTTTTTTCCAATACTGATTTGTCTGTGTGCACTGTACATGGAATTCAATATTTTCTTTAATATGTATTTGTTTTTAATGTCAATTTTTAAAGGGTCATTGTAGTTCAACATTTCGGCTTCTAGGAATAAACATTTGACTGCTAGAGAAAATATTTTACAAGCCATGGTTGGTGTACATGTTTCAGACTGAAAGCAGTAAGGGTGATGGAAGTTTAGTTGGAGTATTAGCAGGTAGTAAAGGTAGGACCTAGGGTTGCTAGTGTGGACATGGCATTTTATGAACAACTAGGATATCATAAACTGGATTGATAACTTGCGCTTATCACCGTATTGATGAGTGTCATTATCACCAACACTGATATGATAGATCAGTATTGTATTATAAAAGTGAAAGTTGTAATCACACATAAGAAAAATAAATGCCTATCAACCATCAAATTAGTCTTGCTCAACCTTTTGACTTATTATAAAACTTTAATCATGATCATCAACCATGTTCCTCAACATCTACTAAGGAAGATCAAGGTTAAGTGGGCACCGAGTGCCGAGAATGAGTACCACTGAAGCCATCAGTGTGGAACTAGGCTATTAAACTAAATAACCAATAAGTATATATTTTTCCTGATGATGAGAACTAGCAAGATCTAAACAAGTGCATATCAGGAAGCATGATCCTACTGCAAAGGTAAAATCCATCTTTACATTGATAAAGGACATATTTCACCAGCCACACCATAATTCAGGTACAGTACAGTACAATGCAGCAAACTGCTCACAAAATAACCTAACGAAGATATTAAATGGATTAATTAAACAGTTTGTATATAAATCTAAATTTGCCTTCAAAACTGCTGAAAAAATTCATAACTGCTGTTTTATTCCCCCCTACCCCCCCCCCCCCCCCCCCATTCTACCAGACATGACATGCTAAGCTGACCTATGGATTTTGCTCTAAAACATTAATTTATTAAGCCTTTTACAAAATTCAACACTTCCACAGAATAAATATAGAACTATGCAAAAAATCAAGTATTGAATGTAATGAAATGCTCTTTTCTTGTGGGCCTCTGGCAAGCTCTCCTAGTTAAACTGTGGATTCACCAGGTCTTTGCCAAACAATATACTACCAAGACCTAACTGATGCCAACTGGGAGCCAGGACAAAACTCTGGCCCACTGAGGCAAGGGGAACAGTGTATAGAGCTAGTCACAAAACCAGGAGGGAAGGGAGAGGGGGAAACAATCCATCAGAAAGCAAAAACACAACAAAACTGGCAACTGTGAAGTAAATAAGGTACTCGAAGTAAGCAAGGTAAGCAATCAATGCTGTCGGGTAACTATCCTAATTCTGATGTTCTGATAATTCTGATTCTGACTGCCACTAGATGGCAGCCCTGGTCACCAAATGTTCCAGCCAGCCCACCACCTAATTCTGGGGCTGCCTAGAACATATCCCCCTAAACCCACCACAAAGAAAGGGGGCAGGATGGGAATGAGATGGCAAAACTGAAACCACTACTAGGGAGCCCACCATAGTGTCAGGAGTAAGTTTCCAGCAGTTTCCAGTTTTATGCAGAGAGAAATGAATCAACCTGCAGACAACCAAATGTCTTGCACAGCCAGAGTAAAAAGGCTTCGGTCACTACCAACTCTGTAGTGATTGGATAGAAAAGAGAAAATCTGCAAGCACGTTTAACACCATGAATGTGAATCCCACTGATTAGATCCAGAGAAGCAAGAAGTGAGGGCTAATGTATGTATATGCTCAGTCTAGGTCCAACATATCCATGAACAGCTCAATGATTATTTTCATGAAGATCACAAAGCAAAGTTCAGGTTCAAAAGGCAATCAAGGCCTCAAAAAAAAAAAAAGGAGATCCTCTGTACGAGCAGGAGACCAAGATGCAGCCATACCAGGGCCGGCATAGGCAAAGAAAGGGAGGGAGGCAGTCAGTCAATGAATTCTAGATCATTCCCAGTCATAGCAGAACATACTAAGGCCTCACTAACTGGAACTCCAACCAGTTGACCACAAAGACAAAGTAGGCCAACTAGGAAAAAACCAAATCCCTAGCTAGCAAAGGAACTCAAACCAACTAGTTGTCAAGTAGGCCAAAACTGCCTGGAGAAAAACCACATTGCACAATGACACAGATTCTCCATCAGAATACGAATTCTAAAATCAGTTAACATTCACACCAAAGGTAACAGAGGCACCTGGACACCAAGCCTCAACATTGTGGGGTAAAGCAGGAACAAAGGCACCGTAACAGCAGGGGGAGAGAGAAAAAAAGAAAAGTTCCAAGTACAACCTGAAAAACTGAGGTCATTGCTTTCCAGTTAAGCACCTATTTGTAACAGTGTTGCTGCCACTTGATTATTAAAAAAAAAGGATGGGGAACACAGTTGTCTGTCAGCCAAGAAAAGTCTAGGACCTTATATACTGCTGCCAGGAAACGAAAGATCCATACTCATTTATAAGCATGGGCTCAGTTTCAGTTTTGCAAAAAGTACCAAAGCAAGTCAAATTCAGGTCCTAAACTGGGATATCTTCCAAGGGAAGCATAAGAGTCAAGCACATGCTGAATCAGATAGGGAAGCCATAACAACTTGACTGAAATCATACATGACTAGAAACCCCAGAGTGTAGAAATTACAGCACAGTCACAGTTGAGTGTGTTGGGCAAGTAGAAACACACTTGGGCAAAATCAACAAAAATTGAATACAAAATCAACAAAATTGAATACACTACAAGGGAGAGTGCCAGGGAGCTTGCATACCATGAGATACATAATCAAAACTATGCAAGCACTCTGCTAAAGTGCAAGGCCTCTATACCACTCACAGAAAAAGAGCCACCATGTCTGCAAGGTTGATTAGCACACAGGCACACACACACTATCAATATACTTTGCAGGAGCAAATGTTGCATGCACTGCCTCGAATTGAAATGCCTCGAGGAGGCAATCTGTTGAGGTGAGCCTGCAATCTGTCAAGGCAGACATTTCTGGAGGAATAAAGAAATTGCAAGACCAACCCAGGGATGAAAACCATGACCAGAGCCAAAACAAAATGAAATACTAGGGCATACATAATATGGGTACATAAACATGATCATGAATATGAAACAAAGCAATGGACCCTGGTGCAACTAGGTAGCAGGTACAACCCTGGGAATGTCAGAACTATTTTGCCGACAGTAAGCAGCAGGCATTAGGCCCAGCAGATGATGAAGACACTGAGCCAATGTAACTAGGCCGAAGAGTTTGACATCTGATAGGCTGACTGTTTCCTCAGGTGATCTGGGTTGTCATCTGATAGCAATCAGGCACATCAGGATTATTATAGTTACTACATGGCAACAATCAACTGCCTGGCTAACCTTGGGGTGCCTCACTTCATTCAAGCAGTCATTTGTTATGCTTTTCTCCATGGATTTTATCCCAGTTTTATTGGTTGATTAATATCTGTTCTTTCTGCCTTGCAGAGCGACCCACATTCTGGTACTGGTTCTCAGTAACTTAAGTCTTAGAGGCCTCATGTATTTGGCCAAGGTTTGGTGAGATCCAGCCATGCTAGGGAGCTACTACAGGGGCCCTTGTAGAAAATCTTACAACTGACTATAAACTATTCCATATTTGATTCGACTTACCAATAACAATCATGTGCTCATCGTAATCACAAAAATAAAACAAGTTACAATCATCTGTACGCTGAATAATACTTCACAAAAAACCTCGCTGCAAAACTGTGCGCAGTATAATACTGTAATTCCTAAAATATTTATAAACCAGCAATTTTCAGTAATTTCCATTGAACTAATATTACCATTGTTATATTCACAAAGTCCCATGATACTTAAAACCAAAATAATTTCACACTAAAAACTATACTCTCTTTCCTCTGAAACGCACCATACTACCAATTACCTCAACACTTGACCAAAGTTTCCTTACTCTGTCTGCTGAACCACTGAACTGTGGCAATAACAGCATCTAAGTTTATCAAACAAAATTCTCCATTTAAACAAGAATCACCACAGTCCCTAAAAAATCATTCCCAGTTAGGCCTATACCAGAGATATCAGGCCCCACAAAATGCTAAAATAGTCCAATTCAGCAAACATGATTAGTCTTCAACAATGGCTAAACATACTTTCATAACTACGGTATTTAATACAGTATATCTGTTTAGTACAGTATAGCACTGTGCATGATATATAAATGGGAAACTCATTATATTAAAAATAAACTTTGCCATCTCATTTCAATCAATTTGCCTATTTCTATTCCTGAAAACCTCAAGTATAAATTAAAATGATATTAACTGAAATCCATCTCATTTCACAATAAACTCTCGCTTCAGACCAACAGAATACTTCTTCAGTTTTGCAAATACTGTACTGTGATTTCAATTCTTAACTTATATTTCTTGTCTTTAGACAATAGTAACAATAAAAAAAATTACCTTTTGCTGAGCCAGGCGAAATGACTTGTTAAAATGTTGATCCACCTGAAACTGCTGCCGCTCCTTCTCCTCCCTTTCTCGCCTCTCCTTCTCTCTTCTCTCCCTGTCTTCCCTCTCTCTTCTTTCCCTCTCAGTTCTCTCCCTCTCCATTTTTTCTTTATTAATCCTTTCCTTTTCGCGGGCTTCAGCCTCACGCCTTTCCCTGCAAAAAGGAAAACACAGGTGATAAATAGTAAATCCTTGGAAGACAAGGACAGGCAGCCTATAATGATTCTATAGTCATTGCATTAAAGGACCATATTAGGCAAACCCAAACAACTATATAGTTCCATATTAGGCAAACCCAAACAACTTTATAGTTTGACATTTATGAGTAAAACATTAACAAGATAAATTTCACATTGTCAAAATCCGAGATCATAGTGGACACTGACGAAGAGACAGAAAATA